TTTTGTCCGAAATTCGAGCGCGGGCAGGCAATAATAATTTTGATTATTTAAAAGTTTGGAAATCGGTATAAATACCGATAATACCGACATATTGTCGCTAAATATGGTGCACTGGCTGTAAGTTCGTACACCATATGTAGAGTTCTTTACCACCGTTAGTATTAGTGAGCAGTTTCACTAATACATGCGTTTTACTGGTTGAAAATAAAAAGCAAACCGCTGTCAAGGCAAAAACTTTGACAGCGAATTTCGTGGTTGAAAATAATAAACAAATCGATTTTACACGGCTACACTAGCAAGGTTGTATTAGTGAAATTTTGCGGCAAAAAGTCAATGATTGGCTGACCTTTCGAATCGCGCCACACAATTTTGTGAAGAGGGTCGATCCTGCAGCTGTGTGAGTACCATCAGGTACATTTTTTCTACGTCAGCGGCAGCAGCAATTAATCATTTTGTTCGAGCATTTTCCACAGAGATGGCGCTGTTCCGCTGGTAGGAAGTGATAAAAATCCCCATATAAAAATTGAGAGAAGTGGGCATAATTCGCTTTCGGTTCATATTCAGGTCAAAAAAAGTAAACGACAACCTAAAAAAATGAATCAAGGACTTTGTCGTTCAGTTTTTCCCGGAAATTATCGTTAAACAAGCTACAATTAAATAAAAATGATTTTCCCCACACAGTTTTACCTGATTTACTACCAGCTCACAAAGAGCCAAAAAATTCAAATTTGAGAAAGAAAATTTGCTCTCACGACCTCAATCTCTCAAGATGCCATGTATTTTGTTGACACCCGATTTGTCATTTCCCTTTCACAGATTACAAAATGGAGTACTTGACACTACAAAACATATGCATTTGCTTTAACATTTGAAGTCCCTCCTTTTTTACATATTCTGCGCAAAAGATACTTTATGCCTCGCCTCATACATAAAAATCGGCGGGAAATTCTGTGAGGGGTGAGCTATTTTGTGTGCAGAATGTGTAAAAAAGGAGGGACTTCGAATAATAATCTAAATTCATATAAAGAGGTACCAGACATGTTTTGCACTGCAGTGTCCTCTGTGAACAATAATAGGAAAACAGATTGTGTCTTTTTTTTATACAGGGGGGAATCTGCTCACAGACACCTGACAAGGAACTCAGGGTGTGGGGATGGGAGAATTTCACTCCCGACCCACTAAACCTTACCCTGTGCGCTTTTCCCTTGACCTCCTCGGAACCGCCCCAAGGCATTACTTTGTGGGAGAGGCCGCTGTAGCGCTATGGCGCCTCTCTAGCATTACTCTAACGATCTAGTCGGGCAGTAGGTAACTGCTGCTCGGCTCGCCACTGTCGTTGTAATACCGAAACTATGTGGGTGACCGCAGTCACCACCGTGCTCCAGTTCTCGGTGGTACCACACATCCTAGGAACGATGTTATCCGGACTGGTATCCGCTCCGCATATCGCTAGCATAGCGCTCGATACTGGCTCGAAACGTGGACAGGCAAACACGACGTGTTCGGCGGTCTCCTCGACACCAGCACATGTGGGGCAGGTGGGAGTACTTGCATGTCCGAACCTATGCAGGTAGCTCCTAAAGCAGTCATGGCCTGACAGGAACTGTGTCAGGTGGAAGTTTACTTCCCCATGGCGCCTGTTGACCCAGCTTGATACGGAAGGTATCAAGCGGTAAGTCCACCTCCCCTTTGTGGAGTTTTCCCACTCCAATTGCCATCTCGCGGTCGACACAAGTCGCGCGTTGTTGCGCACCCCTCGAACGGTCCTCGCGTCATAGCACACCACATCCTCCTTAATGATAAGGCTGATTGGCATCATCCCTGCTATGACACAGACGGCCTCTCTCGAGGTAGTGCGGTATGCACTGGCCACCCTCAAGCACATTAGCCTGTGCGTGCTCTCTAATTTCTGCCTGTGGCAGTCAATATCCAGTACCGCAGCGCACGCAGGGCCGCCGTATCTGAGGATAGATACTACGACCCCAGCGAGGAGCCTGCGCTTTCTGGCATTCACTGCCGAGCTGTTTGACATCATACGGGATAATGCCCCCACAGCCATAGACGCTCTCTTGCAGGCGTACTCGATGTGGCAGCCGAAGCTGAGCTTATCGTCGAGCATAACCCCCAAGAGTTTCAGAGAGCGCACAGACCTAATTGTGCTTCCGCCGACTATCAACGTCGCATGCTGTACTGACATGCGATTGTTGACTACGACCACTTCCGTCTTGTGATGGGCGAGCTCCAGTTTCCTGGTTCTCATCAATTCCTCTACAAGCCTGACGCAGTGGGCCGCTGTCAGCTCTACCTCCTCGAGGGATCCCCCGCAGACTACCAGCGTGACATCGTCGGCAAAACCTACAATTTTCACCCCTACCGGGAATTTTATCCTCAACAGTCCATCGTACATGACGTTCCATAACACCGGGCCCAGGATGGAGCCTTGTGGCACCCCTCAGAGCCACAACCGGGATCCCATCTGGGCCCGGGGCCTTGCCCACTACCAGCGACTTGGCAATACCGCCAACGATCGGAGCCAGTACCGCTGGTGATCTCTCCGGGGGTGCCGTCACGCCGCGGGTCTTTGCCATGACCACTTTGAAGGCATCCCCCCATGGGTTCGTGTTGGCGCTTTGGCTGTCAAAGCACGCGCGATTGCGTCTGGCGATCTCTTTATTGAGAGCTGCCTTAGACGCTCGAAGAGCAACACGGCGTTCCTCCCGAGATTCAGTCGTATGAGCTCGTTGCATCCTCCTTCTCGCCTGGAGGCAAGACGCCCTGAGGATAGCAATCGACTCGCTCCACCAGTACACCGGTCTATGGCCATGCCTGGGATAGGCTCTCCTAGGCATGGTTGTATCGGACGCCCTTGTCAGAGCTGCTACCAGTTCTTCCCCCGTCAGATCCGGGGTTATTCGCTCCCGCCTCAGTGCTTCGCCGAAGACCTCTTCCTCCAATAACGACGTCCGCCAGCCTCGAGTGCAGGAAGAATTTCCTCCTGCCACTCGCCTCTCACCTAGCCCCACACTGTACAGAATCGCCTGATGGTCACTGTGGGTGTAACCCTCATCAACCCTCCAGTGCAGGTTGCCCTCCAAACTTGGGCGGCAGTATGTCACGTCGATGACGGATTCTGCACCATTCCTTCTGTAGGTACTGACCGAGCCGGTGTTGGATAATACAACGTCCAGCTTGGCCATTGCCTCCAGTAGGATGCATCCTCTCTGGTTGGTGTGGTGGCTGCCCCACTCCACCGCCCATGCGTTAAAGTCGCCCGCAATGACCACTGGTCTTAGGCCGACAAGTACCGCAGTGAGTCGTCCACCATCTGCGAGAATTGCTCGATAGACCACCTGGGCGGAGCATAGCAGCTACTTAAATATACTCCATTAACCCTGGCGATCACGAATCCCTCGCTCGAGTTGGACACGACTACCTCCTGAGTTGACACTGTTCCGGAGCGCCATGACTATCTCGGTCGCCTCCGTCACTTCGTCCAGGTCCTTGACCTGGATGGTGATCGTCGAGCCTAGCGACTTCACCTGCACCCCAGTACCAACGACCTCCTTTGCCAGTTTCTGGTAGGTTGGTCCCTGGTCTTTCGCACCACGCTTGAGAACCAGGAGCATCTCACCTGTACGAGTGCGCCTGATGCTCCTCACGTTGCTGCCCATCTCCGCAAGACGCTCGTCCGTTCTCATTTTCTTCAAGACTTCCGCGTATTTCGACGCTTCCGTCTTGAACAGATTGTGTCTAGTTTCCGATAGATGTCACTGCAAACAACATCTGTGACATCTGATGGAACATCTTCTGCATTGACAAAATGATCAATTCGACGCAAACGGAAGCGTTCCAAGATTGCTAGCAGCGGATCCTGTACTACTGGTCCCACCATTAGCGTGTCATTTAGTGATATCCGTCTCGAAGGACCATGTTGTGGATCGAACTTACTTACTATCCCTCCACTTCACTCCACGTCCACAGTTCACTTCTACTGGGCACAAACTAACACCGGACTTGTTCGTTGTGTGGTAAGATTGATACTAAATTTACTATCTATCATCGCACCTAGGTATCCTGTAGATCGTATACAATCAGGTGGGTGAGAGAGAGTGAACAATGAGAGAACCTAATCTTAACTTTTCTACTGCAATCGTGACATGGGGTACTCTATTGAATTACGTAAAACTAACATGATTTGAATATCAGTATTATACCGCCTAAAAGCTGATTTCACAACCCCCAGAACTGATGCCGATGTGGCCATATGTCATCAAATAAACTACAACCTGATTTCACTGATCAAATCTTGTCATGTTGGCATCATTTGACATGTCACATGGTATGGTAACCTCAATGAAATTATATTCCAACAAACCGTTCTCCGTAATTCTCAGATCCGGGTTCCGGAACCGATGCCAAACTGGCCTAAATCATCTGAAATTATTTTCATTCACTTGGTTCTACCTTTTTGATCGGTCACAAGATACATTTGCCTGAAGTATTAGTATGTCCTACAGAACCAGTTTGCGGGACTACTGGCAGCGATATTATCGTAATCGATAATTCAGTTCTACTAATCATATTGCATCTATCTGATTTAATTTGATACACCGTCCAATTCGCCAGAAAATCCTATGATCAAACTGGTTAAAAAAGTACAAAAGTGAACAAAAATATTTACATTTCCTCATATTTACATATTCATAATCAAAAGATAGTTCAACTATTCCCTTTAAATAAAAATCCAAGTTTATGAAAATCGGCATTGCTGTTACTTTAGAGATTACAATTTTAGTTGTTTGATTTTCTACGAAAGAATGATCCCGCTAGACCATTGCGGTATTTAAAATAAAATCGACGAAGATAGTCAATCTACTCTAATCCACTTTCACCTTAATTCTGAAATTTATTTTTAATATTTACCATATTAAGTGATCGATTTTCCCCCGGATTACGGTACACCCCTTTTTTCAATTTTGCTCTCTACGCTCTATTTTTAGGCTACGGAGAAAAACTGCGAGGTCGACATCGACAATTACACCTCCGAGATGGATACCAGCCCGAAGCAGGGGGCCTACCTGGGCCAGAATATTTCCTCCAATTACGCCAATTCGCACCAAACGTTGTACGAGTTTCTGAGCTCGGCCCGCAACACCCCGAACGCCACCCGGCACCAACTGACGGCCCCGAGGTCATCCGCCGTGGGACTGTCGGCGACCAACAACAGCAACTACGAGATGCGTCCCATCAACACGGTCCAATTTAGCGCCAGTCAGATTTCGCTGGCCGAGTCGTGCGTTTCCAGTGTGACCGCCAGCCACAACGCCAAGGTGCGGGTCCACGGCGGCAAGCGCATCCCCATCAGGATCTCGTCGCTAAAGCGCGAAACAAAGACGGCCCAAACACTGAGTATGGTGGTGGGAGGATTTATTGCCTGCTGGTTGCCGTTCTTTGTGTACTACCTGTTGATGCCCTTCCTGCCGGAGCGGTCCCAGAGCAAACCGCTGATGTCGTTTCTGACGTGGCTCGGCTGGATTAACAGTGCCATCAATCCGTTCATCTATGCCTTGTACAACGTGGACTTCCGGATCGCATTCTGGCGGTTGACGTTCAGAAAGTTTTACAAAAACAAGCACAATTTGGAATTTTTCAAATCGTAGGACAAGGGCCATTGGTGGAGCAGCCTACAGCGGAGATTTTGTGCTGATGGTGGGAGGATGTCTGGCATCAATGCGTCGCCCTCTGTCGTTGTGCGGGATTGTGCCGTTTGATGGGCGGGTGGGGACCGGGTTGGAGCGTAATACCATAAAAGTGATGATCTGCCGTTTTTCAATGGCCTGTGTGCGATTTGATTCCACTTGGGAGGCACGAACAGCAGTGTAGGATTGGGATTTTCCACCAGAATAGGATTATAACGTTCATAGTAGATCTTTGTTTGGCAAATAGCATTTACGACACATTCTGAATAGCAGCTAAAAAAAAACTCTCAATCGACAATGGTGGAAGTGATTCAAAAATATTACAATAAGGATGGACTATAAATTACAGTGAAGAACATGCAAAAAGACCGTAAAGAGTCGTGAGTAATTTCAAAAATTAAGCAAATGAAAAAGAACCATATTCATCGCCAAGTAGAACCGTAATCATCATTAATAATTATTTTTCATCCCCGAGCACTTAAACGAGCGAGTTCAACAAGCGGAAACAACCGTCATTTAGGAAACAACGTCTCCCACCCATTTGCAAGCATCAGCCTTCTTCACGAAACGGTTGTCTTGTGTCCTCTTAATCACTCAAAATCACGATAGGAACTCCCCTCCCCCTTTCCCCATCACCGTCACGCCACAGAAGAACTCATTTTGGGAGATGAGCAATTTTGAGCTCCACAGTAAGGACACCGCTCCGGATGGTAGGTAATGCTTTCAAACAGTCACTTTTATCAAAAGCTCAGAAACCCAAAAAGATTTATCAACAACACCCACACGTCGCAACAAGACACCGTTGTCAATGTCGTTATCGAACGCAAGGCACGCCGAATCTGTAACAATTCGATCCACTCGAGCGTTAAGCTACGGCCGTACGGAACTTAAATTTGGAAAGCATGACAACGCGGGAAAGTTTCACGCCCAAGCACAAAATATTCAAATCGTTGATGAAAGGACCCTTCATTCTTCTTCTTATTTTTTCGATTGAAAGACGGCGAGAGATAACGAATTTAACCTAAATGGAACAGCCGATAGGTATAGGATTAACAGTTGATAAATACATACGAATTTCAAACTACTGATAAGAGTCATAAGAACTGCTGTTAGATCCTCCTAAATATTCACATCCAAGTGCAAACTAACTATATGTATAGACAACGCGAAAAAAAAAAGAAAAAAAGAAAACCAACGAAGTTCAATTATTTGTTAAATCTAGTTCCAGTATCGGCAATTGGCCAATGATTTCCACAAAATAAAATGTAAATTAACACCGAGGGTGGGGTATCACTTTGTTTGTGAGTGAATATTGAGAAATGTCCCCAATGATGTTGGTCCCAGTGCTAATGGTTGCCGAAACAGCCAACGGCCAAAATGGGAAGAAATTGGATTGAGCTAAGGGAGTAACTTTAGCAAATTACCTTTATCTCAAAAGATTGATTATAAGGATCTAATTGATAGGTTTGAGGGAGATTAGAGTGCTTTGTTTGAAGTTTAAGCAGGCATCCAGATGTAACTAATGGGTAATGAAAACTCCCCCTACCGTGGTGTCGGCATCGGAATCTCGGATCCCCATATGTCCGTATGACATTGACTGCCGAATCAATATTCCTTCTTCTTGGCGGAAGCCACCGCTACCTTCATCGCATCCACTACTAATTTAAATAAGCCGATTGTCGTATTCACGGACTCTGCCAGCGTAGTACAAGCCCTCGACTCTGATCTAGCTAAACACCCATGGAGCCATCCAAAAATCCTGGATCCCTGGACATGTTTTTTTCCTTTGATTTGTTTTTCGTCGATCTTGTTTTCCGTAATGAGTACCATTGCTACCGACGCGAGGGAGGCAGCTTCCACTCCTGGACCCTACATATCGACCCATTCACTTATGAACCGGGGACCGACGGCTTCACTTCCCGTGATCAGAGATTTTATGCCTCAGAAAATTCCGACGGTGAGAGGCAATCACGCTTATCACTAAACCACCGGCGCCTGGACACGTCGGCAATCGCGGAAAATACGAGGCAGCCCATCTAGCAGCCTCCGGAAGACAAGCCTAACTATTCACCTAGAGGATCCCAGATCTAAAAACGGATTAAAAACGCTACCTGAAATTCATGGTCAACCTCATGTTTTAGTAGTTAAATTACATTTGATTTTCCATTGATTATGATTTTTCATTGTTCATACATTCCAATTGATTGGCCTGAAGGGCTCTTCATCTTTGTTTGATTTGTTATTCTAATTTACGTGTTTACGTTTTTCAACTAGTTCACAAGATAACCCTTGGGGGTGCGTTTTGCTTGAATTTAAAAATAATTTGATAGCCTACCTAACTACTAATAACTTATCCAAATTAGCAAGATTGCGGATGATCCCGTGATTTGATCTCAGGCAGACGTCTCTGAACCTTTCGAGGATGAGCGTACTCCGCTCCTCCAGTGTCTGAAGACCAGCCAGACAGGCGGTGGATGTCAGAATTTCGAGTCCGCGGGGGACTCTTGAGGATCATCCTAAGGACCTTGTTCTGGATCCTTTGGAGGTTGAGGTGATGACACTTAGATTTGCATACCATACTCAATAGCCGGCAGAATGATCTGCTTGTGGACAGCAAGTTTGTTTTTGAGCGACAGGGTGGACTTCCTGTTTATCAGAGGGTAGAGCGACCTGATCAAGATGTTACACTTGGTGGATGTCTTGTCCACATGGGATCGGAATAGCAATTTGCTATCGAAGGTGAGACCAAGGTAGTCTACTTCACTGGACCATTCAATGGGAATGCTATTAAGATGGACCTTGACGTTAGCAGGTGGGACAAGCCAAGGTGAATTCGAGTGTGGAAAAAGATTTTTTTGTTTTTTAGCTGCATTGATACAAACCCTTCAGCAGTCGGACATAACATCCAGGCCTGATTGTAGTTTACTCGCCAGCGCACGGATCCCTCGACCCTTAAAAATGATGGAGGTGTCATCTGTGAACATTGACAGGATACCACCACCTAGCATGGGAGCAACGTCTGACGTGAAAATATTGAATAGGATAGGCCCAAGCAGGCTACGCTGATGGACCCCTGCATCAACGTTGAACGTATCCTAGGGGACATTGTTCAAATAGACCTGGAATGATATGCCCGACAAGTAAAAAGTTGTATCGATGAAGCTTGTACACTAGACCATCATGCCAGACATTGTCGAACGCCTTCTCGACGTCCAACAATGCCATGGCATGCTCTGTGAAGAAATCGGTCTGCTCCGATTGCCGGTTGCGAAAAAAGTGAATTTGGAGCATCATCGCCGGTTACAATTAGCGGTAACGTACTAGATTGCATTACCTTGTTTAAGTACTAGAAGAGCGTCAAAACGAATGTAGTAGTAGACAGTTCTTACTGCCCAGGAGTGATGCGATTGGAGTTAATGGAGTATATTTAGGTAGCTGTTATGCTCCGCCCAGGTGGTCTATCGAGCAGTTCTCGCAGATGGTGGACAGACTCACTGCGGTTCTTATCGGCCTAAGCCCGGTGGTCATTGCGGGTGACTTCAACGCATGGGCGGTGGAGTGGGGCAGCTACCACACCAACCAGAGAGGATGCATCCTACTGGATGCAATGGCCAAACTGGACGTTGCACTAGACAACACCGGCTCGGTCAGTACCTACAGAAGGAATGGTGCAGAATCCGTCATCGACGTGACGTACTGCAGCCCGTGTTTGGAGGGCAACCTACACTGGAGGGTCGATGAGGGTTACACCCATAGTGACCATCAGGCGATTCGGTACAGTGTGGGGCCAGGTGAGAGGCGAGTGGCAGGAGGAAATCCTTCCTGCGCTCGAGGCTGGCGGACGTCGTTCTTCGAGGAAGAGGTCTTCGGCGAAGCACTGAGGCGGGAGCGAATAACCCCGGATCTGACGGGGGAAGAACTGGTAGCAGCGCTGACAAGGGTGTGCGATACAATTATGCCTAGGAGAGCCTATCCCAGGCATGGCCATAGACCGGTGTACTGGTGGAGCGAGTCGATTGCTATCCTTAGGGCGTCTTGCCTCCAGGCGAGAAGGAGGATGCAACGAGCTCGTACGACCGAATCTCGGGAGGAACCCCGCGTTGCTCTTCGAGCGGCTAAGGCGGCCCTCAATAAAGAGATCGCCAGATGCAAGCGTGCGTGCTTTGACAGCTTATGCCAAAGTGCCAACACGAACCCGGCTGCCACGTCGAATACGCCTGCAAGAGAGGGTCTATGGCTGTGGGGGCATTATCCCGTATGATGTCAAACAGCTCGGCAGTGAATGCCAGTAAGCGCAGGCTCCTCGCTGGGGTCGTAGTATCTCTCCTCAGATACGGCGGCTCTGCGTGGGCTGCGGTACTGGATATTGACTGCCACAGGCGGAAATTAGAGAGCACACACAGGCTAATGTGCTTGAGGGTGGCCAGTGCATACCGCACTATCTCGAGGGAGGCCGTCTGTGTCATAGCAGGGATGATGCCAATCAGTCTTATCATTAAGGAGGATGTGGTGTGCTACGACGCGAGGACCGTTCGAGGGGTGCGCAACAACGCGCAAGTTGTGTCGACCGCGAGATGGCAATCGGAGTGGGAAAACTCCACAAAGGGACTTACCGCTTGATACCTTCCGTATCAAGCTGGGTCAACAGGCGCCATGGGGAAGTAAACTTCCACCTGACACAGTTCCTGTCAGGCCATGGCTGCTTTAGGAGTTACCTGCATAGGTTCGGACATGCAAGTACTCCCACCTGCCCCACATGTGCTGGTGTCGAGGAGACCGCCGAACACGTCGTGTTTGCCTGTCCACGTTTCGAGCCAGTATCGAGCGCTATGCTAGCAATATGCGGAGCGGATACCAGTCCGGATAACATCGTTCCTAGGATGTGTGGTAAAACTGAGAACTGGAGTGCGGTGGTGACTGCGGTCACCCACATAGTTTCGGAATTACAACGACAGTGGCGTGCCGAGCAGCAGTTGCC